GTTTTATACTTGTGAATTGTGCACTAGATCGTAATTCCTGCTAATTTGCCTTGAAAATTTGATCATTTGTATGTTCGATCAGGATGTTTTTGCATACCAAATTTCGTCACGATCGCAAAAGTCCTTCGTGGTGCTTGGATTCTTTTTGAGAAATAGTTTTTTAACATTATTTGCTGATCCAAATACGAAGACGGAGCTTTAATTCCCCCATCTTGAAAGTTGATTCTCCTTCAAATATATATCCTTTTGCTATTTTTTTAACCTGAATCTTTGGAGATATTCTCTAACAGAAATGTTGGAAAATGTGAAATAATGCTCAAAGCTTCGCGCTATATAAGTTCAAAAGTATACTATCGAACTGCTGACACAGTATAGTATAGTTTGGTTTGAATAATTTTGGCAAAGCATGCGAAGGCCTTTTTGCATAAGGAAAAGAGACGAATTCGTGGAGGACTTTATAAAGAAAACTGGTTCACATCTATGCTACACATGGAGAAAACCACGAAAATGCCCAACCAGCCAGCTAGTTCGCAGGGATTCAAACTCAGACAAAATTACCAGTGTTCAGAGAATTCGCCGCTCAGCTGTTGGTGAACCCAGTGTAGGACAGAAAGTAATTAAATGCCTCTAGTTGTTTTGGTTTATTGAGATTACGGCAAAGCACACTGGGCAAAGCACTTTCTTGAGGGGATTGGTGTCTTCCTGGAGGGCTTTCTAAGGGAAACTGGCTCGTATAGACGTTACACGTGGGTAAAACCACGAAAACGCCCGCACAGTCAGCCCGTTCGCCTGGAATCGAACCCAGGTTGGAACTACCAGTATTCAGCTACTTTACTGCTCGGCCGCTGATGGTCTTAAATCTGAAATGATACACACTCACTCTAGGGCTGCATTTACGAACACATTGCACAAGAACACTATGTATTTATAAAATGACTAAAAACAGTCAAGTCTTTTGGAGGTACGCAAACACACATAGATGAGTGTGTATCTATATATGTATATATATGTGTGTGTGCAAAGACGACATCACTAATAAGCGTTATTATAATCACTATCACAACTCATCAAGGTATTGTTAAACTAGGATTTATTTATTTAAATTAGAATACAAAGAAAATAAAAAAGAACGATCGTCACGTCTGCTCTCATCATCGTCAACCTTTCGTCTCCCCGCGCTCTCATCCAGATGGTGTTTTAATATTATGCATATCAGTTACGGTCACAGTTCCTACATAATTTGGCCTTCCGACATCGTCATCTGCCCTCAGATGATAATAGCAAACAGGGAAATTTAACATATAAAATACAGTAAAAATAAAAATACTAATATTAGTAAACAATAAATGAAAATACTAAATTAATACAGATAAATGAAAATATTTAGTCAGGATCTTTTAATAACAGCACCTAGAAAAATGTAAAAATATAATAGCTGCAATCATTATCAAAGTAAAGAGGGATAAGATTAAACTTCAAAGGTGTAATTTAGTTTATATGAGAAAATGTCCATAAAATACTTAAGTTCAGGTAATCTATTCTGATGAATCCCAAAGTTTCATAAATTCGGCAAAAGTGCTTGTTTTCGTAGGTCCATCAAAGAAACCAAATTAGGTCCATCAAAGAAACCAAATTAAACCAAATTTTTAAACATCATAAGTGTCACTTGGCTTGATTTTTACGATCTTTTACGTTTCGATAAACTTGGGTTTCAGTTTAAGACGAGGTTCATGTTATGTACGCTTGATTGCCCTTACCTCATGGAGCTGGAATTTACAGGATGGCTTACGTCGTAGGTGTAGGTTTTACGATTTTCAGCCTGCACTTTCAAAATCTATTGTTTAGCTTTCCTTGCGAAGATCATCATGAGCGTTGACGAAATCTAATTGGATCTCTGCATTTAACAAATTTCATTATTGTATTTATATACAGATAATTGCTTTTATCTGCAATTTTATCATGATTAGCAGATTTTATTTTAGTTCCCAACGTGAGTTCGAATGGATTTGTATTGATACTGCATGTTAAATTAATCACCTGCTGAGCTTCATCGACGTATGCATACCATTTTGAGGGATTTTGAATCGATAATTTGGAGAGAACAGAATTTATAACAGAATTCAATCTCTCACTTTATGCATTGGTACAAGGCAGTCCTGTACTAATTTGAATATGCTGGATATTAGTGATTGAACAACAGTCTTGAAAATGTTTAGAAGTATATGCTGAACCTTTATCGGAAATGATACGCAAAGAATTTCCAAAGACAAATTTTTGAGTTTCTATGTATGACAAAAGAAGTGTAATATCGACTGTTTTTGTCGACAGTAACATCGAAGAAAGCATTTTTTAAAGCGATTGTAGTGAATGAACGAGCATCTCATAGTTTATTCAGTAAATCTTCCATTAATTGTAAGGGATGCCTATATTTAACTATTTTCTTGTTTAATTTGCGATAGTCTATACATACTATAATGCTACCAACTTTCGTTTTTAGTACTACAACTTGACTAGAATATTGGGAAGAATAGGGTTAAATTATGTCGTCGGCCAATCAAGTCTGAACTTCTTGTTTTATAATGTCTCTTTTGGCAAAAGGTAATTGTCTAGGTTTGTTAAAAATATGTGTTTTATCTTTTACTTGAATAGGCATCTCAATGTTCGTAGTTTTGGTTTTGAGAGGTTTATAATTGGAGACAAAATTTTCAGTAATCGTAACTTTTTTTTTTTTTTTTTTTTTTTTTTTAGTAGTAGGGCCTATTTCTAATTCAAATGTTTGATTAAGGGAAATATTATTGAAGTGCACATCTTCCGGATCATTTTGCTTAACGACTACATGCTTAGAAATACGAACGTCATCCTTTTTTATATTAGCTTAACCTTGTTTAAGAATATTCATGCCGATTATAGCGTCAGATGACACTACATTACTATCTACAACATAAATATTAATCGCAAATAATTCCGTATCTATTAAAATGTCCAGCTGTAAAATAATCCATTGGCTTAATTTTGTCATTACCGAAGCCAGTCAAAATGTTATAAAACACACTTAAAGAAGGATTTCTTCTTTGTTTATAAATATTGTTAGATATAACCATTGCTTTACTGCCGGTATCAATGATAGCTGTAAGTTATATATCACTAATTTTGATTACTTTATGAAGTAAGTTTGGGGCATTAAATTTGTTTGATGTGATAATTTTTTTTCAGATGTTTGAGGTTTTTTTCCTTTTTTCCAGCATTTTACTTCTGAGTTTTTTTTAATGCACATGAGGGATTTATGACCGAAGTTCCCACAATTTCCAGTTAAGTCCGCGATGTTTGTCGGAACAAAATTTAGATAAATGACAAATCCATTTACAGTTATAACATTTGGATGCCTGGTAATTACTGGAATTGGTTGAGAAAACTTTTCTGTCATGTAAAGCTAAAAATGTAGATTCACGACACTCAGTTTTGCACTTTAAAAAAGAAAGAAGATCAGAAATTATGACACTACATTTTGAATTTGTGTTTCGCTTAAAATCTAAAACAAAATTTTCTGGAACTAAATTTAGAATGATTAAATCAAAAGTGGCCCATAGGAGTTTGAATCCTCTTGCATTAAATCTAAATTTCGTGTAACGAAATCGAGCTCATCATATAACTTTCTCAAAGCTAGAACATTTAAAGAATTTTTAACACTTTGCAAGTTTAAAATTCTACTCATAAAAGAATCAATGATGGTATCTTTACGACCAAAATGAACTTTACACAACTGTAAAGTTCATTTTGGTCATTTGGTCTAAGTAACTTTACATAACTGTCATAATTTTTATCACTTAATTGAAAACCAGATACTATATTCAATGCTCTTACAGTCCTATGTTTTTAAATATCAAATTTTTCATTCTTCGCAAGTGAAGCATATCGACCGATAGTGTTTTCAAATGAATTCCAAAATTCATTCCAATATTTCGGGTCTTCTGACTACGGTTTGATTATTAACTTAGGAAATTTAACAGAAGAGGGTAAATTTAAGTTATTTGAAGTACTTAAGAGTTTTTCAGATGTCGAAGATTTAGTAAAATTTTCTTTCTGTTTCAGTAAACGTTTGAATTTGTTAGTATACTTGATACGTTTTTGTTAGTAATTAGTGTTAATGTTTACCTCTTCCTTAATTAAGTTTATATCGAAGAAATGTTAAATTTACCTATCTAAGGATTTCAATTTACGAAATTGTTTCAATTAAACTTCTAGATGTTCGTCTAAGATATCACATGTACATTTTGATCTGCTAAAGCAACATGAATTCTTGAAATTAGTTTAATAGTACTGCTTCTTTCAACACTATGTTTTCCTTTTATATTTTCAAAATTTTCTTCAGAAGCCATGTTTTATTCTTTAACGACTTAACAAGTAAAACCAAAAGTTATAAATGTAAAATGCTCACTAGTAATCCTTTTGAAAAATGGGTGTACTTTACTAATCTAGATGCGATGGTAATAAGAACACCACACTAAGCACAATCCTACTATGGGCAGGAAATATAGACTTCTAACACCAAATTTATGTAGGGAAGATATCATGAATAAGCATTATAATCACCACTATAACTCATCAAGTTATTACTAAACTAAGTTTACTTGTGTACATTAGAATGAAAACAAAAGTAAAAAGAAGGGTCGTTACAACTTCACGCGTCTACCCTCACCATCGTCAACCTCTTATCGCCCCCCCTAGCGCTCATCCAAATGGCGCTTTAGCATTATGTAACTTAAATTTGTTAATAACTTGAAATTTTAGAAGTTATAAAAATTAACACATGGTTAACTATTGTTCTTACCTTACCACTTGAGATCGCGATAATCTTTTATAATTATTTAATATTCTGGGATAATTTCAACCCCACCTTTTTATTATATGTTTCATAGATGCACACAAAAGTGCATTTCTACATAATTTCCTAGTTTTCATTCTGCTTATCAAGACTTTCTAATTTTATTTTTTCTTTCTAGTTTTTGAAACTAAGCAGAAAATCGTAATAGTGATGCAATATGCCAGTGGAGGTGAACTATATGATTATTTGGGGTGTCATCAAACTTTGCCTGAAGACGAAGCCCGGAGAATATTTCGTCAAATTGCTTCTGCCATTTACTATTGTCATAAAGTAAGTGTTCCTCGCATTATAAATGCAGCTATTTATATTTATGTAGTTTTATATTATGAGTGACAAATTTAATAAAAAGAAATTATTACTTCTCCTCGAATAATTTACCTCTAAGATTTATTTTCATCAGAAAACGAAAAACGTGATTACATGGAAATTTGAAAACATTACGTTTTCGCCATTTTACGAAAACAGCTTTAAAATCATCGTTTCGAGGATAACATTGGCATAAGCGCATTACAGTTTGAGACGATTACATTGAAGAGGATGTATTAAATACTGACCAATAAAATGAAGCCTTATATTTTATGGAATCATTCAGAATACAGTAATTTGTAACAAGTCATTTATTCAACAGGAATTAAGCATTTTTTTCCAGACACGATAAGTCTCGTTGTACGTACACCGTTATCGCAAATATACTTGGGAAAATTTGAAAAATAAAGCCAATAATATATATATATTAAAATTGAAAGGTATAAATCGGTATATTATCACTTTTAACACGATGATATAACTCTTTGAAGCGTTTGTTTCAGCATTCTTCTGAATTCAAGATTATTCTGCATTTGTTTAAGCATGAAACGTATGTGTATTACATACTAAAAAAAAAAAAAACGTTCTTTGAAAAGTAAGGTTTAGTATAGTTTTCAATAGACCAAAAGAAGTATACTTGCAATAGGAAAGTTTTCCATCCTTGAATTCTCAATTTTCCTGAAAAAATATACACGAACTTGCTCATTTAGAAATATTTTTTTCTCACAGTGATGGCCTCTAGCCTTAAGTAGACGTTGCCGCTACTAAGACCGGAAGCGGTGGTCTCTTTATTATGGAGGCATCTAAGAATGTGGGCCACTGTTGCTTCCTATGAAGAGACGAATACATTATATGCATGCCCTCTTCGGGATCCGAACCCGGACCCTTCGGCACGACAGTCAGAGTCACTAACCACTTTCCCGTCTGGTCGGCACATTTAGAAATATATACACTCAAAAACGTTAGCCGCCAATATTCCATAGGTAATCAAAAAATTACGGTATGGTATGGTTATGTAGGTATGGAGTTTTTGATCTCCAATGGCGAACGGCGAACTTTCTGGCGATATTTGACACAAATTTAAAATCTCTCAAACAGCATTGAATTGCCAAATATAGTTAGATATGTAAATTTTCAATTTCCTATTTACATAGACCTAGTAGATAATTTATTCTTAACATTATGTACTTCAAAATGAGCAAGAGCATTTGCAGTTTTATGAATATTGCTTTATTTCCAATAAACTCAATATTTTATCCAAAGTATTTCCTCAATTTTTAACCAAACTGCGATATGTACTTACATGAACTTAAACACAGTCGGAAGGAAACAGTACAGTTTATTATACATACTCAAAAAGAAAGCTATTAAATTAAAATTAACTACTAAATCACCGTTCTTTCAGGATTAGCCATGCTTTAAATATTCTTTTCTTTCTATACCCTTGGGTGAAAAATAATAATAGCAGAAAGTTTCAGCTTTCAAAAATACATCGCAGTCTTTTCGTTGGAGATTAATATAATCAAATGCTTTATGCTTTATTTATATTACCTTCTATACCTCCTATCTTCTTATGTATTCCCGATGAGAACTGCGTAACAATTGTGTAAATGTTAAAAACGATATTCATAAATAAACATTTTAGTTAACAAAGGAAAACTTTCTCTCAGGTTCTTCCAGTCTTTAAGAATACTTTTTCCAAAGTTTCACTTTAAGGAACATTGCAGTCTGCTCTTTAAAACCGATTTTTACATTTTATTTAACTTACCTTGAATATGTTCACTTAAACATAGACATCTGTCACTTTTTTGAAAATATTTCTATTTTTTTAAAGCTAATATCAAATTAATTTTAGCTTGATTGATATAATTTTCAAGTTTTTGTCCTTTTGGAAATATGTAGGCATAGCCCCACGTAGTTCTTGGTGTATTATAATCCCCAGCAAAGAGCTTGAGAGGAGTTGGTCTTTGTATATCTTCTATTTGAGCTATTATCTGTGATAGAAAGGGAACAGATGGAGCTTATAACAAGTAGAAATACGGCTCAGTCTGCTGTGTTCTTGACAACGAGAGGAACCCATTGTGAATTGCAAGAGATTATAGCTGCTCTTGGTGCTTCGGCTGATAGGTTAGGATAATGCTGGAAAATAGTCCATTGCATTGGTAAGCCTGAAACTTCCCACCGCTGGTGTATGTTTCTTGAACTTTAATAAGATCTACGTCATTTTCTTGCTCAAATTTTATTAAGTGATTGGTGGGTGTCCGCACTTCTTGGAGACTGATCTGAATGCATCTGATATTGTCTTTGTTGCCGGTGTTTGTAACTGAAAGGTTATCAGTACTTTTATTGCGTTTTCCCGCATAATATAACTGTGGTAATAGGAGCCTTCTGTAGGGTATGCTGGGTGTTCTGTGCTGTGGTTTCTCTTTGTGAGGTAGCTGGTATCACAGCAGTTGAGACATCTTGCGCACTGTGCTCGGCATTGCTGTATCTTGTGGGGTTCTGAGCAATTAGACGAATAAATTCTGTACTGTGAACTACATATATTCAGTCGCCAGTGTTTCAGTCACGATTAGAAAGTCTTTCATCAGTGATAAGGTAAAAAGTGAGTGAAGACCGACACTCAGAATCTAGCTTCTCCGAATATATCTCGACGATTAATCGTTAGAAATTCAAGACAGCAAAGTGAGCATAACACGCTCTAAAATCACCTTCCAAAACCTTCCCGTTGAGCTTTCAACGATTTTGTTGACTTTTATTTTAAACATTGTAAATGATTTCTTTATGCATTTTAATACTTTTGTATTTACTTTTTTTTTTCTCTTTGTGTATGATTTCATTGTATTATTGAAAACTGATGTTATTACTTACAATTTTGCCTTTTTTACTTACGATTTGTAAGTTTCGTATGATACTTTGTGGTGCACGAGGATTTATTTTTCGTTAAATTAAAAAAAAAAAAAAAAAAAAAAAAACACCTTTCCATAAATACTGCTTTTTTCCACCTCATTTGAATACACGCGCGCTATAGCTTATTAATATTCTGGCAAGAAAGCTTGGGTGAAAATGAGAATCAAATAAAATTCCTTTAAAATAAAAATTAACTGTGAGATAAATTAAATGAATCTTCACAAGCCTAAGAAAAGAACAGATTGTCAATAAGTATCTACAGTTCTTGATGAAGATACTTTCTAAAAACCTTTCTCAAAAGTTTACAAAATTTATCAAAATCGAAACGCCATGACGTGTTGTAGCTGAAAGTTGTAGTAAGAAATAAGGAAGTTTATAATTATTTACATGCAATATTTTTCTGTATGCGTCATAGAAAAATGGGATAAATAAAAGAAAGAGAGGTTATTGTCATTATTTATTCTCAAGTTTTGTCCCTCTTGAGAAGTTTACGTAATTTGTTTATTTTTAGTTTAAGTAAGTTGTTTAATGGTTACGTGAATATATTAAAATTATTGGAATAAATGTCAGTCTGAAAATTTAATATTTAGCAGTCAATACTTTTGAATTGCAAAATGTAACCAACAGAAATTTCTTACAGATACCAACCAATATTTTAGACAGATACCACTATTTCAGACAGAAAATAAGTACAGATTTGAATTTTTAATTTGCGTCATTATTATTGTTGTTTATCCATGATTTGACAAATATGTAATAAGAAAGTTTTAAATTTAGTTAGAAGAGTCTTTTATTATTATTATTTATTTTTTTATCTGCGGCTTTCAAATCGTGCATTCTGTTCGCGTAAAATTTGAGTTTGAGACCACTGTTTTAAGCAATTTAATTAATTTTCAGTCAAACTATTTGAATATACCAATTCAGAAGTCAATGCGGTTTTGCAGCTGAAGATGGTGGTTCGGTAAAACCATCGAAACTAGTCCTGTGAAAATTTTGTAAATATAACGCTGATTTTTGTTGTTTGACTTCTGAATTGGTATTTATTCGGCGTGTTATTGTGTCTTAATTATTTGAACATGCCTTCGCAAAACAAAGACTTTTTATAGAGGTATTTGAGTTTTTATAATTATAATGAGTTACTCATTTTAGCTGTTTTTATCGAAAATTGCCAAATATTTTCTTTTAGTTGAGAACACGTATCTATTATTATTGTTTATAAGCTTACAAAACACCCAAAAAACGAGGCCAGAATAAATTCCAGAAACCTTCGGAACATGAGTTTCGCGTGTGTGAGCTTTTGTAGCGAAAAAGTCTTAATTCTGATATGGTAGGAATCCGAAGTAATATTTTGGTTGAAAATTCTGCTGTATAAAAGATTAAGGCATATCACTGTTGAGTAACATTTAGAGAGCAAATAATGGGAATCGAACGATATTTTTGACCTACTAAATTTATCACGTCAATTATTGCATGTAAATTGCAAGCAACTGATATGGGTACTACCGCATTCTTTTCTTTCAGCTAAGTCATCGCCCATCATCTCAAACTGATAGGGAAAATCGCATGCTATCTCAGGAAAAAAAAAAAAAAAAAAAAGGCGAAGAGGTAAACTTAGTAAAAATTCAGTACTTTCGCAATTTATTGTTTCACAAATAAATTTCTTTTTTTAATCTCAGTTCTCTAGAAAATTCAGTGTGGGACAAAGGTATTTAATGCTGCAGTATAGATTTGTCACTACTTTAACAGAACTGGATAAAGCTTTCAACAAAAAGGGGAAATTATATCTTTGTTGAATTCGATTTAGTTTTAAAATTCCAGAATTGATAATTTTGACTAAATTTGTATAACTTCTAAGAAGTCATTCTTTCTAAAATTTATATAAGGTAATGAGATATTTCACCAGTACCATCTGGTCTGAGTTAAAATGACACGACGAAGAATGATTATTGGAAAAGATAAGGCCATAACCAACGTAATATTCTTAAATTTTCAGGATTAATTTCGAAGGCTTCGTACCTTCTCCTTCAGCTGCAGAAATGGAAAATAATCTTTTT